ATCAGCTTTACATTCAGATTTTCTTTCAATTAGAAACAAATTATTATACTTTTTCAAAGAAAAAGTAATTTCCAATATAATTCTTGAATTGTGAAGATGTCACTTAATATAATAAAGGAGTATAAAGATATGAATGATGATGTAAAACTTGCTAAGACTGACTCTGATGATAACAAATTGCAAAATTTTGATGAGGATGAGGATTTTTAACAATAAACTCATAATAAAATTACATCAGAAAGTATTCATAGACCACAGGAATAAGACAATATTTTTGTTTTAGTTTAATCTATTTTTTTGATAAAGTTTTCTTAAGAGCATTTGAAGTATCAAACTTTAGATTTCATCCTATATTAGAAAATTTGAAATTTGGTTCAAGAAAAGTCATCTTTATGTAAGCCTTTGTTTTTCGCTCAATATTTATACAAAGTTGCTCAAAGTTATAAAACGTATGCAGGTAGATATTGTGAATAAGTTTACTTAGTAAAAAGTTTAGTTTATATGTGGGCTACTTTTAACGTTTGATCGGCGAAATTTCGTGGTGATCGGTTATTTCTGTCTGGGCACTGAGTGAATCATTCACCCTTAGCCTAGTACAGTATTGGAAATCTAATGTTCTCAATATTCTCAAGGAGAAAATAATATTTTAAAATCGTGTTGTCTATTAGAGAACATTTGAAAATATAAATTTTAGAATTTATGTTCTCTATTGAATTACATATATTTATTTATTTAATAACTAAAGCTATTTATATGATCAAGTTAATAAACATAGGTTTAATCTTTTGATATATTGTTGTGAAGAACAAACTTTTTATAAGAATCAAGATTTTTCTGGACCGACTGTATTCTTATAGAGATGTGACTGTATATATATATATATATATATATAATTGAATTTTTTCATTATACATGTATATGTATAATACCCACAGAAAGTATCGTCCGTTTTGAAATTATATAGTAACATATACAGTATATAAAAATTTTTCCATGATTTTATAATTAAAACAGATTTTGCATTTTAATTCGTCCACAGTTAGGAATTCATTTTTTGAAAACTACAATTGATTAACTTTAAAATGGTATAAAGTTAGAAACAATTACTAAAAAGAAATATGAATTTGTATATAACGATAACTTGAAAATTTCAATTTTTTATATGTAAAGCGTGGAAAAAAATTTTTTCCTTTACAATCAAAATGGTCTTTGCACTTTAAGTCGTCTGCAGCTGAAATAATTACTAGAAAAAACATGAATATTTATATAGCTTGAAAATTTCTTTCAAAATCCTGTTTTTAACTATGCTGTCATGTTTGATAGATCCGATAAAGTTTTCAAGTTGGTCTGTTTTCTGGAATAGGATATCACAATAATTTTTTAATACCATCCGGGGACATTATTTTGTATCATAGGTCATACTCGTTATCGATATCTTATCACGAATTCGTTTACAGTTCACCAGTTACAATATCGTATATAACCCACTATTTAGGTATCCCTTTCCCTTACAAAATACCCGGTGGGTACTAATCAATTTTTAACCCCCTAGAATGTAAGAGACCCGGGGTACTAATTGCGGAAAAATACGATATTATTGACATTACCGATATTAATAACGGATCAAAAATGTTATTACTAAGTTTCAAATGTCTATTATTTTGTGAGGTGCAAATGACATTACCACGAGTATATTTATGAAGAAAATCCTTTAAATTATAACACCTTTATCACTTTCGTCATCTATATTATTTTGTAGGGTGTCAGTCAATGACGTATAGTTATAAAGATCATTTTAATTAGAATCATCACTTTCGTTGTCTACATCCTTAACCTACAGATGAACGAATTTCCATCATATCTTCATTTGCATCGTCATCGTAAACACTGGTTCACGTTCGTCATTCGCTATTATCATCCTCATAATCGTTATTTTCTTTTTGGAGGTGGCATAAGAGATGATCTTTTACATAATATATTTTTCTCGCCTAATGCTTTGACTATTTTTTCCATCATTTTGTTTATTGAATGTTTTCTATATTATTTTCAATCTTGTCTCAAGCCAAAAGTGGACCGTTTATAGTATCTATATACTACAAACTGTCCACTTAAGCTAGATTATAATAATCCCGAGATGTGAACTTGGTTCGCATTTATTGCGTACTTTTCGGGGCTATTATGATCTATCACGAGATGGTGGAAGACGTTTGAGGCCGAATTTGGTTCGCCTTTGTGTCATATTTTTTGATTGCAAGGATGAGGCACAAAGTGCCGAATTGTTATCCATTTGGTAACCGAGAATGAGGCATGTGGTGCCGAATTGTTCTCTACTTGGTGACCCGTTCGAATTCCAGAATGAGGCACTATTGACGAATAGTTACCCGCAATAAAAATTTAAAAAAGTCGTAAGGCGGAGGTATCCTTCTGCCCTAATTATTCCGCACTTGAATACCCCCGAAATACACCTCGAAAATTCCAGAAAAAAAGTTGCAAAGAAGGTATTCTTCTGTCATATTTATTCTACAATTGAATACCTCATCAAGATGAGAATTCTTCTGTCATATTTATTATATAATAATACCGCACTTAAATATAACTGTGACTGTGGATGGGAGAGGATGATTGAATTAATTTTACCTGTTGGTCTAAATCCTGTGCTGATATCTATGAATATTGTGTAATATGTGTGTTTTAAAGAGAGAGTAATATAAGTAATTAGAAGAAGAAGAGAAGAGAATTATATTTACTAACTATTAATTAATCTATTCATTAATCAAATGCTTTTTCTAGTCAAAAGTCTTAAACTTATATTGATCAAATCAATCAATCAATGATGTATTTCACCTTTTCTAGATTAAAAGATCTAATTAATAATATTATCTTTTCTAATATAAAGAATCTAAATAATATTATCTTTTCTGATATAAAGAATCTAATCAATATATTATCTTTTCTAATATAAAAAATCTAAATAATAATATTATCTTTTCTTATATAAAGAATCTAATCAATATATTATTTTTTCTAACATAAAGAATCTAATTAATAATTTTTTTTAACATAAAGAATTTAACCAATCTATAATGATTATAGTTATAATTATAATAATAAATATCTTTATAAAGAGAATTTTAACAATTTATTATTTAAGAAAAAGTTTATATATAAGTTTATTTTTATTTTTTTTAAAAGTTTAAAGAATATTTTTATATATATTTCTTTTTATTAATTTTTTCTATTCTAAAAGAAATATTACTTTAAATCTATTTATAATCTTCTAGTTATATAATATAAAATATCAAGAAAATTTATATAAAAGATTCAAGATATAATAAAGTAGTTAATTTTAAATTCATATAGAAAATAAATCAAAACAGACAAGAGATTATTATAATTAAAAACTTAATTTTTATTATGATGACCATTATTAAAATTATAAAATAAATATAGTATCTTTAAATAATAAATTATGATTATATAAAATTAATAATAATAAATAAGAAATTAATAATCTTTGAAAGATACTTATTAATGTATAAATATAGAAAGTAAATAATTATAAATAAAAATATAAAATAGATAATATATCTAGCTATATTAGTATAATAAGAGAAAATAAAACTTCTATAGAAAATTATCTTTTAAGATAAAAATAACTCAATTAATCATGTGATTTCTCTTGATAATATTAGATAATCATGATATAGTAAATTATATATAGTATAATAATATGATATTATAAAGATTTGTAAAATAAAGTATTACATTATTTTATTATTAAATATTTAATATATCATATAAATATTATAATTATAATATAATAAAGAAAAAATTTTGCTAGAAATTATATATTTATTTTTATAAACTAAAAAATACTAAAAATTAAGAGTATAATATGATTTTATGTACTAAAAAATATTAAAAATTATGAAAAATTTATCATATTTATTATATTAATAATATATACTAAAAAAATAAAAATATAATTTACTAAAAAATACTAAATATAAGAGATATTATATGATAATAAATATGATATTAAAAAATATTAAAAATAAAAAATCAGAAAATTTTATAATTTTATAAAATATTTTATAATTAAATAATTTTTTTATAATTTTTAAACTTAAAAGTTTTAATAGAATTATAATAATAATAATACTATATAATAAAATTATAACTTTTTTATATTTACTTTACTAAAACTTAATATTATTTTTTTATTCTTATCTATTATTTATCAAAAAAAATTAAGTTAAATATTTTAATATTATATAGAAATAAATATAATATTATTAATTAATAGATCTATAATATATAAAATAAAATAATAAATACTAATATATACTAATATATACTAATATATAATATATTTATTATAAAAGTTTTAACTTATAATAATATTATATTAAAATATAATTTAATAACTATACTTTAATAAATCTATAAATAGAATATTTATATATATTTTATATATTTATAATATTTTAATTAATAAATAAAAAGTTTTAATAAATATTATTATTTCTAATAATAATTAACTAATTATATTTAAAAGTAATTTAATTAAAATTTTATTAAAAGTTCTTTAAATTTAAAATCAAAATTATTAATACTTATTTAATTTAGAATTATTATTATTCTAAATAATAAAAATTATTTTTATTTATAAATTTTATAAATCTTATTTATTCAAAATATAATTTTGATAGTTATATCTCTTTATAATTATCTTTTTTTATAATCATCTTTTTAAGTTTCCTAATTAACTATTATATATAATAGAAAAAAATTTTTTTCTTAAATAAATTAATTTTTTTTAAGTAAAAATTATTAGAATATTTATATTTTGAAATTTTTATACAAATTAATTTTAAATTCTTTGATATTTCCGGTAATATATTGTCCATTATTTCTGATTACTAGGCATTATTATGATCTTTATGTTATACAGATTTTTCTTCGATATTTCCAACACTATAATTTTCATTTTTATCAAATCACTTTACAAACACCATGAACCAGGCATCCCTACCAATTTCATAATAGTTTTCAAGTAGATTGCCACAAATTTCAAATCCGACTTTACGATAAAGGTTTATCGCATCCTTTCTTTGCACATCAACATGTAATTCAGCACGACTTTTCTCTGGCACGCCTGTTCGTCCGAAACACATTTTCAATAGACGCGTGCCTAAACCTTTTTTTCTTAGCGAAGTGTGAATGCAAAGTTTGATGATACGCGTTATTGGTAATGAATAAATAGAGGAGAGATATGAGTATATCATATACCCAGCAATTTTTATCTTTTGCGATTCTCTAACAATAATATTGTTACTTTGTTGTTTTCTTGATAAATTTTTCTTTGTCGTATTATTGTTTTCGCGTTTATTAGATTCGTCACAATAATAATAAGCAATTAGCATCGTGTTGCTTTTTTTTGTGATCTCCTCTTTTATTGACATCACCTCGTTCTTGGGAAATGTCTTGCGTTCAATAGATTCAATTTGTTCGAGAATTGTGTCGTGATATGTTGCGAGGTTTTTTGTTGGAAAAATTGAAAAATGAAAATCTTCCATCGTTAGAAGGGCAAAAACACCATTCATCTATCGCTATCATGTGCCTTTGGGAAATCAAATGAGTCAAATCAGTTTCAGTTTCAAATAATATTAGGAGAAAAAAAATTTTTAGCAAATTTCAGCAAGAATGACAGGTAAAAAAAGCGAAAAGCAACAACAAACAGAAAAGAGGAATGATAAAATCGTTGGCAAGTCAGTGATCAATAAAAAAGTAAGGAAAAGACGCGATAAAAAGCAAGAAATAGAAACAAACGAAAGCAGTCACTCACAAATCGAAGAACATAAACCGCGAAAAAGAAAATCAAAAGTAGAACCAGACATTAATAATACTACTGTTATTAGTTTTGGAAAAAGTGAATCCGCGCAAACAGAGCCTAAAAGTCAAAAACGAAATTCACGAAAAGTTGAATCCAATGTTGATAGCTCTGAAAGTGGTTCCACACAAACAGAGCCAGTACCTGACAAGCAAATAGCCGAACCTGATTATTCAGATATGCATGCGAAGCGTCTACAAAACGTGACCAAGTATATTGGCGCTCATGTTAGTGTCGCCGGTGGTGTACATAATGCTATTGAGAATGGATTAATGATTGGGTAAAAATTTATTTGATATATATATTCTTTCTTTCTGATTACTCAACACCAAGAAAGATTTAATGACACATTGAATTTGACGATTTCAGCGCGAATTCTTTTGCAATCTTTGTCAAAAATCAGCGTAAATGGCATTCAAAACCTCTAGATCCGGAGTCAGTTTCCCGATTTAAATCATATTGTCAAAAGCATTCGTACGCGTCTAGATATATATTGCCACATGGAAGTTATTTGATTAATCTTGCAAATCCCGATGAAGCGAAGCGAAATAAGAGCTATGATGCTTTTTTGGATGAGTTGAAAAGATGCGAGACGTTGGGTCTTCATATGTATAATTTTCAGTAAGTTAGATGATAGTCATTCATTATACAAATAAATTGATGCTATTATTTAGAGCAATAACGATAAATGTTTGTATTTGTCATAAAGTCCAGGATCATCAGTAGGACAATGTACTCTGAACGAGTCTATACAACATATTGCCGATTGCATCAATCGAGCTCACAATGAAACTGAAAACATTATTTGTGTCCTTGAAAATACGGTACTTGCTTTCTTTAATTATTCAGGAATTTAAAAAGATAGTGGATGTATGGATGGATGGATGAATGAATGAATGAATGAATGAATGAATGAATGAATGAATGAATGACTGACTGACTGACTGACTGACTGATTGATTATATAATTGATGTTAAAAGGCTGGTGAAAAAAACAAAGTTGGTAGTAAGTTTGAAGACTTGGGCAGAATCATTGCAAAAGTAGAAAGTAAGTTTCCCACTTGAATAATCAATCACTTAAACATTTTTCCATCTAATAAAGTCCTTTTCACAACAGAAAAAGATCGCGTCGGCGTATGCATTGATACTTGTCACGCATTTGCCGCTGTAAGTTCTTTATTCTTACCAATCTTCTTGACGCCACGCAAAAATTTTTATTGATAGAATAATACTTCCATTTCTCTAAATATTTCTTAGGGCTACGACTTACGAACAAAAAAAGGCTACGATGAAGCAATGACAGAATTCTCACGACACGTAGGGTTCGATTATCTTCGTGGCATGCACTTGAACGACTCACGTGCAAACTTTTGCTCGGGTCGTGATCTTCATCAAAATATTGGGAAAGGTTATTTGGGATTGGAGGCTTTTCGCTTGATAATGAATGACGATCGCCTGAATGAGCTACCGTTGATCCTTGAAACTCCGGTGGTGGATGATAATACTTGGATATCGGAAATCGAATTGTTGTATAGTTTAGTTGGAAAAAAGGAAGGGGAGGTTCCTATTGCCACAGATGACGCCTGTGATAATAATTGTAGAAAGCGAACTAAAGCCACAGAAAGTGGAAAAAGAAAAGGGACAAAGAAAGCTAAAGTATCTAATAATAATAGTGATGATATCTCAAATTGATTTTGAACCTTATTAACTAAAAGTTTTGATTAACGTGATTTAACGGACCATAATTGCGATCGATTTAACGATAGCCATTAGTATTCTCTCAATTTCATCTAAAAGATTAGATTTGTTCTCATCTCGATCAGACTCATCTTTTAAACTGATAATACTGATAACCTGCATGACAGTGACGATCCTTTCATCTAGAAATCAGGCTTACTGATGGATTGCCATTTTTTAGATCTGGAATTTATCTCCAATTTTTTATCAATCTATGCGATTTCTCGTACAAAAGTTCGCATTGATGATGGTTTGGGCTCTACCACTTTAGTTATTTAGTGCTTGTGCTTAGAGGCCCGACAAATCATAGCTTAATATATAATGTTAATAGCCAGACTCGGGAAAAATAGATTAGCAAAGTCATCGTCGTCGTGTCGACGAACTGTTTCGACCCGTTTTTTGTCGACATTATCTACTTCGAAAAAGGGACATGCAAGTAATATACTACAACAAAATAATAAACGGTATTCTATACTTGGACAAAAAAGTCGGTCGTATGGAAATGGCGCAGCACTAAGAGAAAAAGTAATCTCTTCAATTTGTTATTTAGTTTGACGCCGTTTGTACTGAAACTTTAACATTTAATCAAGCATAAATCCTTTGATAATAAATAACAATAGGAAACAATTGTGAAACTTTTGTATAATATTGCTTCGCGCAAAGAGGTAGAAGTTTATCTGCGTCACTTTTCATCAGTTGAATCCCAAAAATTCGCTGTGATAAAAGTTGGCGGAGCAGTACTATCCGAAGAACTAGATACCCTCGCTTCCTCATTGACCTTTCTTAATAGAGTCGGTCTATATCCAATAGTACTACACGGGGCAGGACCACAATTAAATGACCTATTGAAAAAGGCTAAAGTTGAACCTACATACAACGAAGGAATTCGCGTAACAGATTCAAAGACATTAGAAATCGCTCGTAAAGTATTTCTCGAGGAAAATTTAAAACTTGTTGAAGCTTTAGAAAAATTGGGAACACGTGCACGTCCTATTCCTAATGGCGTTTTCATTGCCGATTATCTGGATCGTGAGAAATATGGGTTTGTGGGAGAGATTACTGGTGTTCAGAAAAATGTTATTGAGGCCAGTATCAGAGCTGGTGCGTTGCCGATTTTGACTAGTTTGGCGGAAACTCCATCAGGGCAAATTTTAAACGTTAATGCTGATGTAGCCGCTGGTGAACTGGCCAGAGTTATGGAACCGTTGAAAATTATTTTTTTAAGTGAAAAAGGTGGATTGTTTAACGGTGAAACAAATAAAAAAATTGACGTGATAAATTTAGATGAAGTATGTTTGTCTTTTCTTTCACTTGTGCATTATCGCTTGCCTTCCGTCTTAACTATTTTTTATCTTTTCATTATAAATAAAAAAGGAGTATGAAGGATATATGGCAATGCCATGGGTTAAATATGGGACACGACTGAAAATTAAAGAAATAAAAGAACTACTCGATCATTTACCTCGAACTTCTTCCGTGGCCATCACAGCTGCTGGTGAACTGCACAAAGAACTTTTTACGGATAGCGGTTCAGGAACATTAATACGACGTGGATATCGTCTCTTCAAACATAAATCAATTAATGAATTAGATCAGAAAAAAGTACACGATTTACTACAATTAGATCCAATAATTGCATCTGGTTCATCAGATGCCTTTTCTTATCTGGAACGCTCGAAAAAGCCCTATACAGTATACAGCGATGAACCAGTTGAAGTGTTGGCCATTGTTTCTGAAAATCAGAATAATCCAAGCGGGATTCCTGTTCTTGATAAATTTGTAGCTACAAAGAATGGTGTGCTTAATAACGTAACAGATAATGTCTGGGCTATGATTAGAGCTGATTATCCTCGATTAAATTGGGCTGTAAGCGCGTATGATGAAAACCTATCGTGGCATTTTAATAAATCGGAAGGAAGTTATAAATCAGGAGACAAAATTATCTTTTGGTATGGTATCGATAATCTTGATGACATTTCAAATGTTATTACAGAGTTTGTCAAAAACCAATCAACTGCCAACATAAATGGAAAGCGTACAAGTTCTGGTTCTCTTCCTTCAGGAACTCGTTCATATTCCACTTTTACTCGTCCATATTCCACTTTTAATCGGCCATATTCCACTTTTGCTAATAAGAAGTTGTCATATCGAGAATATTCTTCAATAAGTCAATCCTCACCTCAACCAGCAAAGGTTGCCTTGATAGGAGCCCGAGGATACACTGGTCAAAATCTCATTGCACTGTTTAATAACCATCCTTATTTGTCTTTGTCTCATGTATCATCTCGAGAATTAGAGGGGAAGAAATTAGAAGGCTATACAAAGGATAATATTACATATGTAAATTTGAAAGCAGATCAGATGAAAGAAATGCAAAAGAACAAGGAAGTTGATTGTTGGGTAATGGCATTGCCAAATGGTGTGTGTGCACCATTTGTGCATGCCATTGATGATGCTAAGACTGATCCGGGTTTAATTGTAGATTTAAGTGCTGATTATCGATTTACTGATACTTGGACTTATGGTCTTCCCGGTAACTTAAATACTTAATTTTTATCATCTACGTATTATTATAAAATCATTATTTATCTGCTTATTCTTTCGAAATAGAACTATCTGACCGCGAAGCAATTCGAAAAGCCACGCGTATATCTAATCCCGGATGTTATGCGACAGGATCTCAACTAGCAATCGCTCCATTATTGCCATTCATATCCCAAGAACCAACTATATTTGGTGCATCAGGATATTCTGGTGCTGGAACAAAACCATCTCCCAAAAATGATCCCGCATTCCTCAAAGACAATCTAATTCCTTACTCCTTAACTGACCATATACATGAGCGAGAAATCTCTCATCAACTTAATCAGACTGTTAACTTCATCCCTCACGTAGCTCCATATTTTCAGGGAATTGCGTTAACTGTTAATATTCCACTTTCTAGAACGTTCAAATCTTCGGATATCCGGGAAATATACGAGGAAAAATATGCCAATGAAAAATTAGTCAAAGTTGTATCCGATGTTCCGCTTGTGAGAGATAATGCGCAAAAACATTTCGTAAAAATTGGAGGCTTTGGAGTGCATTCGTCAGGAAAGCGAGTAGTTGTTATTGCTACCATAGATAATCTTTTAAAGGGTGCAGCTACACAGGCTTTACAGGTGAGAAAATGTTAATTTTTTTCTTCCAACATTTCCCTTAAATTGATTATTCACAAATTTTCATCGATTTAAAATAGAATATCAATCTTGCCCTTGGATATGATGAATATGAAGGTATTCCATTGGAATAAATAATGTTGGATCAGAAATGCGATGTGATATGATGATTTTTGATAATTAAGTTTCCCAGATCATTGGTTATTATTTCTCTTGATTTAATAATATTTCTAAAACTGATATTTTCAAACTTATTAGAAAAGCACTTAGAAAACTAATGTATTTATTTAGAAGAAACTGTACAAAACTTTGTAAAATATCAAAACTGCAAAGAATTTAATATTTGTCTTCTTTTATGGTTATAAAAATACCAGTCAGGACTCGATTTAAAATTGGGATATGACTATAAAAGGAACCAACTTATCTTCCTATAAATTTTATTATAATCATATTTGTTATTACAAAATCAAATCCATCCCATTCATGTAAATTAAATAATTTAGAAAATTAATACCTATGAGTTTATAAATAAGATTTAGTAATAACCTAATAAAAATGTGCTTCTTAGGGAGAACTATCTACATAACAATTTTCAGCTAAATTGGTACCAAATTCGTCGAGTTATTTGATCCCGAAGTACCAGATGAATGCTAGCAGAAAAAATCTTTAGAATGGCAGCATTAATATAGTTTCTAGGATTTTAAATATTCTCTAGGTTATTAGCTTACAGGAACCAGGTATTCCAAATCGATGTTAGAATCACTAGAATTTTTTTTCGTGAAACTTTTCGTGTTGCATTTCTTGAGCCACTGTATATCGTTAAATCGAGCGTGATTCGATTATAGTGAAATGGAAAAATATCGCTAATTCTCAACGGCACCTTTATAGAAAAAATGTGTTTGTTTTTATAGAATTGTGCTATTCCTATGTAGTCACTGCGTAATGATAATTTCAAAAGTCACATCATAATGAAACGGTCCATCAAACACCAACTGTATCTTACATAAGACGTAATACTTGATTAATACTAAATCCTTTAAAATCGGATAATAGTAAATAAATGCAAAAGAAATCTAATATAATTGAAATAAATATGATTAGTAATAAGTATATACAATCTTTTTAATCCAATTATTAGAAAAAACTAAAAATACAATATGAAAGATTTTCTCTATGAACTTTAAATAAATGCGAGTTTATTATTATATTATTCGCCGAAAATGCGTTGCACTCGTCTGAGAACGCTATCTTTTTCTGGATCTAAAATAATATAATAAATAAAGAATCAGTAACTTTCTATATCGGTTGATTCTAAATAAAATCTTTAGTACCATAGGGATGATCTTTCGACGGTATCTCCAAGACAGTTGGGAATGCTTGATCGTGATCATCGACTAATGGCCGAATAAGATCAGCGATCTAAAGAGCAATCAAAGATAAAATTTTGTGGTCAAGATGAAGTTTTAAGGAAAGATAATAAGATCAGAATTTATTAAAGTTAAATAGCACAAACGTGTTGATTGATTAATATAATGGCAACATCTTTACGTTTTGTGAACTCCAAAAAGGTTTCCTCTATTTTTGAAAGAGGGGTCTCTATTATGATAAGGGTTTAAGGGGAACAATGTTCTTAATAATTAAAAAAGTGGTAAAGTTATACGAGTCTAAAAATCGATGCAGTCTGCCTTCGTTGTTATCAACCTCACGGGACTAGGCAATTCTGTTGATATATACGAGGGTGGATAACAACGAGCGCTTATAAATACAATCAACGAGCTATATTACTATAAGAAATTTTATATGTTGATATTAAAAATCAATCCTATGATTTATGTTGCTAACCATGGGATGTTGATGTTAACAAAGTTTGATATTAACGAGTGCTGACTATATTTCAGGATAGAATCATCAAGAGAAAGGTTCTTACTTGCGTCAACAACCAAAAAGTTTTTCTTTTGTTGTGAATTAACATGGCCGATACCGGCAAGAAGAAGGCCGGTTACAGAATCCTAATTTGTTTATAATATTTAACGAGGTGATAAAAATAAAATAAAGCTTTGACGATCTGCAAATAACTTACTTCATCCCCAATGATTGCCAAAAAATTTCTATCTTTTTGTTGCGCGGCCATTTTATCAAAAGATAGATGTTGAACACGATTGATTACTTTGATGAAATCTTTGTCTTAGCCATTGTATCGAGCACGTGATTCTGATCTGAATTGCTCCCTAAATAATATGAAAAAATGGAACGCACGTGATAGATATTAAATTTTTGGATTTTTCAAATTTGACTAAAATTTTAAAAAGATGACTTGTAGAATTCGTATACTTAGAGAAGGAGGATATTTTAATTTGTTTAAGAAAATCGGTTATTATAACAATTTTATAAAATCTCATGATTTTATTAATTTCAATCGAAAGTATTTTACAACTGGAAATTTAGAGAACAACGATTCAAAAGATGGTTTGAAATTTTTGATTGTCATTGTCATTGTCATTGTCATGCTGACATTAAATATACTAATGAACATGATCTTAATAAAATAATAAATATCATCATCAAGAATCATTCTTTACTATAACATCAGATACTATTCGAATAGACGGTGATTCTTATCCAGTAGATGATTTTACAAATGTAACTTCGAGTATATTATCAAAGATTAAAAGAAAATTACATTTACGTCCATCACATCCAATCTCAATATTACGAAATTTAATTGAAACTCAGCTCAATGATTTTCGACATATTCATGCATTCAATCCAATCGTAAGCACTCGACAAAATTTTGATGATCTTGGCTTTCCCATTGATCATGTTGGAAGAAATAAAACCGATAGTTATTACATTAACAGATCTGTAATGTTACGTACTCACACATCGGCGCATCAACTTCAAATCCTTTCCGCGGGTGAAAATAAATTTCTGGTGAGCGCCGATGTTTATCGAAGAGATGAAATCGACTCTAGTCATTATCCAGTATTTCATCAAATGGAAGGTGTTCAAGTTTTCGATATTGCCGAAGCAAAAGAACAAGTCTCGCGTGAGATTACTAAAATGGGACAATTCAATTATTCTTCTGTACTAATTAGTAATGAAGATGAAAAAGACTCGGATACATCAATTGATAATCGAAAGAATCCAATACAAGCTTGTCATCCTATCGAGGCGGCTAATTCAGTTGGCCTACATCTCAAGCACACATTAAATGAGTTGGTAAAGAGATTGTTTAAAGATGAGAAAGAATTAAAAGTTCGTTGGATTGATGCTTATTTTCCATTTACAAGTCCAAGTTGGGAAATGGAAGTGTTATATCAAGGAAAATGGCTGGAAATATGTGGATGTGGTGTTATATTACAAGATATTATGAATAAAGCAGGTATTCTCATTCTCTCTCTTCTAGTACACTCAAGATTTTTTGGAAATGTATATCATTGTTATGTATAATGATAATTCATCGCTTACAAAAAGAAAGACCAAATGAGATTGGCTGGGCTTTCGGTCTTGGATTGGAAAGAATTGCAATGGTTTTGTTTGATATACCTGACATTCGACTGTTTTGGTCAAAAGATCCGCGATTCTTGGATCAATTTACCTTCAATGAAATAAAAAAGTTCAAACCTTTTTCAAAGTATCCCGCTTCCGCTAGAGATATCAGTTTTTGGGTGGACAATAATACCGATTTCCATGAGAATAATTTTTGTGAACTTGTGAGAAGCGTCGCTGGAGACCTGGTGGAAGACGCGAAAATGGTAATAATCATCTTTGTTTAAAAAATTTTACGTTTCATTTACTTATTACTATGCGAAATTTATTAGATTGATGAATTTATACATCCCGTTTCGAAAAGGCGAAGTTTATGTTATAGAATTATTTATCGATCTATGGATAGGTTTGAGATTATTATATTTGAATGAAGTTGTGCTTGTTTTATAGGTACTCCATTAATCTAATCTCCTTTAGGAATGTAACGAATGAGGAGATTAATCAAATACAATTGAATGTTCAGAAAGAAGTTCAAACTCAACTTGGTGTAACTCTTCGCTAAATAACCCTTTATATTTGTATATATAAAATGCATTATCTTGTAATTAAAAAAATTTACTGTTCACACTATCGATGTTGGAAAGCGTTAAAAACTAATTTCTCGTCAGTGTAAATAAATTCTGAATTTATTTAGGAATATAGTAAACATCCCATCATTCTTGTCTATCTTGCCTGTCAACGGGTAACCACAACTTCATCTCCGGAGGTAATTCCTCTTCAGCATAGACCCTATCTGCGAAATAAATTCTTCTCAATCTGCAATTTGCATGTATTTGCACGCGCAATGTTTCCACGTAATTCGTGCTATAAGCGCGTCGCGTAAAATCTGCAAGATTGAATTGAATCTGATTCCAACCATCATCAAGTCGCATAGGCATTGTACAAATGTATGGCTTGACTCGTGTGATAGCCTAACAAATGATTCCTTTAGAATAATATAATCGTTTTTTGGTATACTCGAAACAAAACATTATGTATGATCTTAGTTACCTGAAAATTTGACGCCCGAAATCTTCTTTTCACATTTTTATCATCCATTATTTGCACTTCAAATGTGAAATACTTTTTCAGATTCTTTACAATAAGCACAAGGATGGGCAGCTTTATCCCGAGTGTACGGTTTAGTTGAGCAGGACACGTTATATACGTGGTAGACACGTTCGGTGATAGTATTTCTATCACAAGTGAGTGAATATCTTCATCTGTTAGACGGGTGACGTGACTCTCTTCATACTTTGAATCGGTTTCCGTGTGCCATAATTGAAATGGCTTGTTGCTAACAAGTCGATAATGATTTAAAGGGATTGATTTTTTATTAAATACTTTTTCTCTAACAACACTATTATCAAACTTTCATATACAAAAAAGATAAAAATAGTAAATTCTGGCTCAAACCTCTACCGATATGGTTTTTTTTAGTAGATACACATTTATTTATTATATACAAGCTAGTAGTACACTTGTTTTAAAAACTAGGTTCATGGCTTGATTCCAAAGAACAAACTATATTTAAGGTATCCTTAGAAGTGCATCAAAAATTTGGATGAAGTTGCTGGACTTACCCAATACTGTACAAAATAGAAAGAAAGCCGGACTGCATGTTTGTTAATTCAAGGCATTTTTAATTACATAAGTTATAGTTGAACAACCAATTTCGAAAGAATAACAACCTGAAAAGTGTTCCTAAACATTTTGTCAAGTTTAGATAAATTGGTAGTGTATCAAAAGCAAATCGGAAAGTATCCAGAAAATATGAGCTCACATGACATTGATAATCTCTAGCACTTCTTCTAAAAATTTGCGTTTTCTTCCTGCTACCAAATTTTCCATACAACTCACTTATAAAATGCCAAAGGTAAAGCCAAAAAAACTCGGCTATAACCATAAAGAAGCTCAAAGCACCTCAAGGGCGGCCTCTTACTCGTCAAAAAGCAACGCCATGCGTGCATTTGGTCCCTTGTTCAATAAAGATCTTGGTCAACACATACTAAAGAACCCGCTTATAGCTCAAGGAATAGTAGATAAGGTAACCAATTAATGTATAAAGTTTGATACCTTGCAATATCGTTTTTTGAGGGAATTTATCACTTATATCCAAATAAGGCAGGTCTGAGAACTTCTGATGTTGTTCTAGAAGTGGGTCCTGGTACTGGTAATTTGACAATGAAAATATTAGAGAAGGCTAAAGAGGTTGTAGCTGTGGAAATGGATCCGCGCCTTGCAGCCGAACTGGCAAAACGTGTACAAGGAAAGTGAGTATATTACGCCATATTATTTTCTTGACAGTGATATTGATTGATCCATTTATTAGACCAGAACAAAAACGTCTAGAAATAATCATAGGAGATGTTATAAAGACAAAATTACCTTATTTTGATATATGTATAAGTAATACACCATTTCAGGTAATTGATCTATTAATAATTGATTAATAATAAGACTACATTCACTCTTTACATAACTAACAATTTTATCGATATGTAGATTTCCTCGCCTTTGATCTTCAAATTTCTAGAACATCGGCCTCTTTTTCGATGTGCAGTTCTCATGTTTCAACGTGAATTTGCCTTACGGCTGATTGCTAAACCTGGAGAGAGTCTTTACTGTCGGCTCAGCGTGAATGCCCAAATGTTCTTTAAAATAGATCACATAATGAAGGTATATATACAAAATCTATATAGAGCCTCGTATGAGTTTTATGTAATTAATATGTTTATTATGTACAGGTTGGTAAAAATAATTTCAAACCACCCCCTCAAGTAGATGCTTCAGTTATAAGAATGGAACCGAGGAATCCGCCTCCCTCTGTTGATTTTGCAGAATGGGATGGATTATTGCGAATCGCATTCAATCGGAAAAATAAGGTTAAATTTTATTTCCAGATCTTTTATTTATTGATGTTGTTTATTAATTTGTTTGTTTAATCTATACAAAAAATTAGACACTGTCGGCTGCCTTTAAAACTACTTCTGTGTTACAAATAATTGAAAACAACTATAAAACATATTGTGCTACTAATGACATGGTAAATATCAGTCTGCTCACGTATGATACGCATCAATTCGCTGAATTTCCTTTGGTTATACAATGTTAATAATCACGGGAAACAATTTACATTATATGGCAAAAAGATGATAGAAGATTCACTTGACATGAAACAAAAAGTGCAAAAAGTGCTGGAATCGGTTGACATGACTGAAACTAGGGCAGCTAAAATTGATATGAATGGCTTTTTGAAGTATGTAGATGTTTCTCGATAGATTATGTGCTAAATTTTTGCAAATATTAAATTACTATCTCCCCCATCGTATTAGATTACTTTGTGCCTTTAACGATGCTCATATTCATTTTTGTTAAACTCCTGAAGATGGTCGTAATAAATAATGATGCGATGACAATCTTTTCGATAATTATCATCATTTTTTAATCTTAACGTCAAAAATGAATTATCTGAGTAAACTCGTCCATTTCAATGGAGAATAAACGAAATATTCATGCAAAATATATCTATTCTTTATCAACTATGAAGTCTATGAATTTGTGGTGATGTCTAATTATCGAATAAATTGTATTTACTCTTAAATGGTAAGATTGTAAGCGACGGAAGGAATTCTATCGTTATCTTCTGACCGGAAAGGTGTTTTATTACCGAAGAACTAAAGTACAAGCGACGGAAGGAATTTTATCTTAGGAAAAAGCAACATTTATTAATATGCTTAAAGTAAAATCTACCACTAAATTAACTAATTAATAACTTCATCTTACCTCACGTCTATCGTGAACTTGAAAAGACTCCGACGCAAAGATAAAAATATTCCAAGACCACCACACCACACAATAATATCGGGTATAAAGACTCGCAATCAACTATATATATTTTCCACACCCATCGTCTTATCGTATATAGAAAACAAAAAAAAAACTATGTACGTTATTTTTCCAAAATGTATGAAAAGGAAAAATAAAAGAAAATGTATACAGGAGAGATTGTATTGTCAGTGTAAATAAGTAAAATGAGTGTAAGGAATCTATATTTATTTTTAAAAAAATATTTCGACAAAAATATGTAAGATTGGGTGCAAGTTTATTATTTGCAAAAATAATATGCATTAAAAGATGGGAATTGTTCGAGTATATATAGAAGCGTGCGAAAAAATATGTACGAAAATGTTTGAGAGAGAATAGTTTTGACAATTGATATTAGGTGAGATAGAATTTAGCTAATGAAGGTAACAACAAAAATCAATATAATATAAATTAAATTAAATTGAAATGAATAAAACTGAATTTGGCTCGATCATGCTGCTGCTGCGTAATAACCAAAAATATATTGACTCGCAATGTGGTCATCCTGACCCAAGCATTCCTTCATTAATAAACGCTTCAGTCGTTCACAGCTTGTTCTACATCCAGAGCTTGCAGCTTTCTCAAACCAGGTTGTAGCTGCTTGCAAATCAACTTCACAACCAATTCCTTTCTCGAGTGCATTAGCTAAATGATACATGGCGGCAAGGTGATCTTGTTCGGCTGCTTGTCGAAAATATTGAAAAGCGAGTTCTTCATTTTTCTCACAACCGACACCTAATTGCAAACACACACCCAACTTATCCTGTGCGCGTGCATGGTTTTGTGCAGCAGCTGCGCGATACCATTTTACGGCCATTAAATCATCTTTTTCCACGCCAATTCCATTAGCGTAACAAAATCCCAGATTACATTGGGCCCAAGGATTTTGTGCTTTCGCCGATAATTCATACCAATGAACAGCTTCCTCTTCGTCTTTTTCTACACCGAGTCCTTCTTCATAACAATAACCCAACGAATTTTGTGCCAATGCGTTTCCTTGCTTTGCCGCATAAGTAAACCATTTTACGGCTTCTTTCTCATCTTTATCCACGCCGATTCCATTTCTGAAACAATAACCGAGACTTAACTGAGCAGGAGCGTGTTGCTGTTCCGCAGACATGAAATACCAATAAACTGCTTCTTCTTCGTTAATCTCTACTCCAATCCCATTCTGATAACAATAACCAAGAGAATGAAAAGCGAAAATATTTCCACGCTCAGCTGATTTTGTGTACCATTCAACAGCTTTAGCTTCATCTTTTGGCACACCAATCCCATTCTGATAGCAAAAGCCGAGATTATGTTGAGCACGTGCGTGTCCCTGAAGTGCAGCCTTCTTATACCAGGAAGCACCTTCAACATCGTCTTTCAGTACACCGATACCATTTTGATAACAATAACCCAAATTACATTCCGCCCAAGGATAACCTTGTTCGGCTGATTTACGATACCATTTGGCAGCTTCCGTGGGATCTTGAGCGACACCAATTCCATCTTCATAACAATATCCCAAAGAATTTTGAGCGAATGCATTTCCTTGTTCAGCAGAAAGGCGATACCACTTTACTGCTTCTACAACGTCTTTTTCAACACCAATTCCGTCTTCATAACAATATCCAACGTTGTAAATAGCGACAGATTCACCTTGTTCAGCCGCTTTACGATACCATTTCATTGCCTCGTATTCATCTTTTTCCACACCAAATCCTTCACCATAACAAAATCCGAGAATTCCTTGACCACGAGGATGTCCTTGTTCTGCTGATTTCTTGTACCACTTGAAAGCTTCGTGTTCATTCTTTTCAACACCAACTCCATCATGATAACAAACCCCAAGAGAATATTGAGCGGCAGGATGATCTTCTTTGGAAGCGGCATATGATAACCATTCAATTGCACTTTTTCCTTGTTCTTTTACTTTTTGTTGCCACATATCAGCTTCTGAACGATCAATTCGTACTGAAGGTCGACCGTATTTTCTCAAGAAAGCAAGTCTTGCCTGTGCTAACCCATTACCACTTTCAGCTGCAGAAATATAATGTAACTCTGCCTGTTTAAAGTTCTTTTCCACGCCTAGACCAAACTCATAACAAAAAGCTAGCACACCTTGTGCTTGTGTATGGTTCATCGAAGTTGCACGTTTAAAATATTCAAAGGCCTTTTTTTCATCACGTGATACGCCACATTTACCAAATAAATGTATTTCACCCTGTTGATATATTGATTGAGCATCTTGTTCATGCGGTTTTTGAGAATTATTTTTAATGATAATGTTATTAACAGTAGTAGCAGTAGAAGCGGAAGTAGGAGTATTGTCGTTGTTATTGTTGCTGTTATTGTCGTTGTTATTGTCGTTATCAAAACTGTTGTAATGAAATTGAACTTTTCGATTAAGTTTAAGCACCAGTCTTTTTGAGCTTTTCAAGATATGAGCAGCTGTTTGTGATATTGGATGAACTGCCATTAAAAATTATTGTTCGAGTTTTGCCTGATTATTGTTGTTTGAGAAGTGGAGCCCCGTGTATTGATTGGAAATAAAATTGTAATGATGAGAGGAAAGGGATGGGTAAGTAATGTGTGTAAGTATAGGGATCGGGATGTTTTTGCTTTTGATAATCAGCTGAAAATGGGTTAAGATAAATCAACGAAATTAAAAAAATGTTTATTGAAAAACTTAGAATAAAGTCTATGATTCTTCTATAAGTTCTATCTTTGTAGGTATATATAATTTTTTCTATATTATCTCTGTGTGTTTCTATTTCTAATTCTATAAGATCTATGATGAAAAGAAAGTAAAAATTATTCAATGTCGACTTGAGGAATCATACGAATGTTCAATTAAGAAAGGAGCGATCAAAATTTGGAATGATTTCGCGAAAATTGAGAGCGTGAGATCTATCTTTTACCTTTTTTTTTTTTTACTAGTCAGGAAAGATTTGTTCCAAACTTGATAGAGAAAATTGAGATGTCAAAATGTTAATTTAGACAAGAGAAGCTCGATGTCGATACCCAACATAAAAATAAAACATTTAAGAGAATACTTACCACTAAAGAGGACTAATAAATAAGCCGAGAGGAGAGAAGTAATTTGAGGAGTATACGGCTGTTTAGAGTATTATATTTTGGAGGAGGAGGAATAAATAAGTTTTGAAGATGGTTCGTCCCTCTGATATATATACAATATCAGAAGTTTTTTACGTAGTATTATGCAAGTTATTTGATTTGGGCGGTCGTTTCACTTTATTGTTTTCGTTTATTATATTTATCGTTATTATTTATATTGATGGTAAAAATATATTATTATATCGTTAAAAGGGACACGCGACCAAAGAATAAGAAACGCTAGCCTTTTTATTGTTCTAGTCATAAAACAAGAAGAAATAAAATCTGATGAAAATCGTTAAATTCTTTTTAAAGAGGAGAGTAAGCCAAAAAAAAATACTAAAGAATATATATAAAATATAATTTACGAGAAGACATAAATATTTGTTCTCGTGACTATAACAGTATAAAGTTTTTTGAGATGAGAAAACGCGCGGACGCGAAAGAGAACCTAAAAGGAAGAGAAGAAAAAAATAATGTTTAATATTATTAATGTGAATGAGAATCCCCATCAGCTCATACTGGATACTATTTGCTTTTTTGAGAAATAACAATGTAGTATAATTTCTAATTGTATCAGTATTTTAACTCGGAAAGCTAACATTTAATTGGAAACACAAATTGAACTAATATTTACAAGGGGTCTAATTTTTCTAACCAAACAACAATAGTTACTCCACTTTTCATTATCATTATTAGATGAAAAGCCACGTTATCGATAACATCGTAACCTAATTAACAAAGAAAAAAAAAAGAATCTTACCGTGTATAGTATCCAATCAGTCAAAAAAAACCTCGATAAAACGAAATGGTCGGGTTATTAGTAAATTTGAGATAAAATTTACTTTCTACTGGTTAAAACAGAACAGTAATTAAAGTTGCAACTTATTAATTGCATCCAAGGTTACAATAAAAAAGATTACATAGCATATATCATTTTCATTTGTCCACATGAAAATTATGTGGATACAATTACACACGTACACTTTTCCTTATATTTGATATTCCCCAAATTAATCTTCAATGGATCCTTTCGTAATTTGTTTCTTTATACACTACTACTCTTCGCTTAACAAATGACAAATTATGAAAACTTTATATAATACTCCTATGTAATCATACCCAGGTGTTTTAAATAGCGTACAGTACCACAAAAATTTCATCGTTTTGTGTTTGACTATTCGTGTTCAAGTAGATCTTTATAGATAAAGTATTATCATAATGTTCGAATCGTTCCTTGAAATTGTTCCTCTAAAATAAGTTTGATTTAATTTCTATCCTCAAAAGTGGTCATTAATATTATTGTTAGCACATTCTTTTATTATGGCTAATTCCCTAAAATGACACTGGTTTTAATGGAAACGTTGAATATGGAAACACCGTAGATTGGAAACGTCAATTACCGATAAATATAACGATAAACGCGTTTGAATGTTTGAATTTAATTAATCAAATCTTAATCAATCCACCAATCATTTTATATATTTTTATAGATGGTGTGAAATTATTTTACCTACCATCTTTACTCATTTTTTGACCTCTAAAAAGAATAAGTTCATCAAAGTTATAATAAATGCCACCGCCTTTATCTAAATATTTACCCACCGAATGTCTTGAAGCTATTTTCTCAGAAATAGACCCAAATGACTATTGTACGTTACATTCTATAATTCTCGTGAACCGAAAATGGTGTGAATCCGGAATCCAGATGTTATGGCGAAAACCATTAAATTGTAACACAATTCCGATTGAACGCCTTATGAAAATTCTTCCTTCTTATTTGGCGTTTGTTGATCAACATGATGTCGACAACAAACCTTTATTCAATTATCCTGCATTCTTGCGGGAGCTAAATTATAATGTTTTGTATAAATTGGTTGAGGCGTGGATTCAAGCGAATGAACCTACAAAAGAAGATTGTTTGGATATTGACGGCACTGAATTTTTTACCGGCAATACATTTGAAGAACGTCGATTTCAGATTGCAAACGAAATTTGTAAAGTGGTAATCTTGTCTCAAGGCGGGCTGGATTATTTCAATGTTAATTTGTATCCAAGTTTCGAAAAAACTACTGGACACGTTTGGTTTGAAAAATGCGCAAGGGCAGCGACTTCCGAAATTCCATCTTTTTTGGCGGCTAGCAATTGTTTTGCGGATCTCGAAACGTTAGTTTGCAACGATTTTTTCAACACAAATCATTTTTTCATACGACTTTCTCAATACGCTCATTCAATTCAGGATTTAACAATATCCATCAATTGTCGATATTCTTTGGCGATTCGTGATACGAGATTATCGCCATTTGATATGCCATTATCAAATAAAAATATTGAATTTATTCATTTGATTAACGCACAACGTAAATTGAAGAAATTAAAAATTGAGAATGGGAATTTCGTTGACATATCGGAAGAATTGTCCTTGATTTTTAACAATCATTTGACAAAATCATTGGAAAAGCTGGAAATTAACGGAGGAATGCTGTCTGAGGATTCCGCACTTGAAGGATTATTAAAATGCAAAAATTTGGAACAATTAAGTTTCGAGAACTTTACGATTACTCCTGGTAATTTAAATTCATTAGCCATGACGATATTTCCAAAGCTTAATTCGATCCGGTTTATCAACATCGACAGAAATTGGAATCAAGATCCAAGAAATGTGACAATACACACAAATTTAGTTGCGTTAATTGGCAACTCAAATGAAAGACTAACAAGTATCTTCATTTATATCAAAACGAGTTATTGCTTAAATCTTTTGACGAAAATCGCGGAAAATTGTCCAAATCTCGTAAATTTTGGCACTTACCTTATGAACGATCAAAATGCTGAGGATCTTTTAATCTTGTTGAAAACTTGTCGAAAACTTAAAAGCCTTAAAATTCCGAAATCTCTAGAACTAGTATATGCTAATGCAGAAGACGACGCTTTCCAAGATTCTCGATTGTTTCAATTATACAAATATTTTCCGAAAATCGCGGAAAATCTTCCAGCTTGCTTTGAAAATTTAAATGTGGCATATTGGGCAATATTGGGAAAATATTTCCGTGGATTTCTTGATAAAGCTCCTGCGGGTCTTACCGCTTTAACTTGGGCAGGTGAAGCTCGTGCCGTTAATAAACACGAAAATTTATTGAAGCAATACGCGAAGAAGAATGGGAAACGTGTTAAATATTTTAGAATTAATAAATTATATAGTTGTGATTATGCTCAAATAACTGCGGAATTGGAATAACGAGTTAGAACAAGGAAAGACAAGTGTACATAATCTCTATTAGTCAGAATCACCAGGAATCGTCTGTCTTTTTGTTTTGTTCCCAGATATTTGGAAAAAATGTACTTTTTTCATTTTTGAATTGTGATCGATCAATTCATATCACTCACTTCAAGCAAGTTCTTTTTTTAATGAACTTAATTTAAAAAAATTAAGAGACATTTCCATTTGACAATTTTGATAATCTTATTATAAAAGATCAAAATCATCTAACTAATCAAAAATTAAAATATTAAAATAAATTCAATAAATCATAAAAATAAATAATACATATATATATACCTTATCATTATATTTCATGATCTTTCGTTTAATTTTCGATGTATCAACCCACGTGACAAAATCTTCAAGGTTCCTATAATTAAAAATTTTTAATAATGTAATAAAGCTAAAAAATCCCAGTCATTCAATCGTATTTACCTAGTGACTAAAAACGCTGGATCTGTGATTGTTTCTGGTCCCACTCTCACATGTCCTTGTTCAATTAATGTAACTGCTTCTTTAACCGTCTCTGACATTTTTAATCGGCACATGACAATTGGTAAACGTCGTCGACAAAAAGCAGACACCGTAATTCCATCCACCTGACTAAATTGTTTTTTCGCCGTAATTAATCCCATCCCATATAATTTTTCCAATAATGCTGTCTCTTGTTTAACCCGAAAAGGATCACGTGAATCTAAAAGTGAAATTCGATTCGCTAATTTATTTATTTCACCACAAAGTTTATTATACTTGTGGTAGTCTTCAGGTTTTTGTATATGATAGCGACGTATAACCTTTGTTGCATGAAAATTATCTTCTTTCTTCCACTTTTAAATTTATGATTTTTCAATTAAAATTTGTTAATGGATTAACGAAGTAATTATTGAATGTGTGAAAAATTTATTTACCTGAAGAAAATCTACTTTCTTGAGCAGTTTCTTTTCATGATATTTTAATTGACGGACCATCTTGAAGAAGATATTATAGTTAACCTCGTTAAACCCAAAACTTTGATATACAAATCAGAAAATAGATTAACCAATCAAAACCTTGTCATAAATCAAAACCAGCTTTTATATTAAGAAATGTGGTAAATGGATCATGTAATGATTCAATCCAATCCGATCCAGCCCGGTCAAACCCGGCCAAAATCGAATTGTATAATCACGTGAAGAAAAGCCTTTAATCTTGATACATGATATAGAATATCTACGAGCAGATGGAATGGCATTTACTAATTTTCACCCGAAGTTTCTATTGGTCAGAGGAGATCCCAATCTCCGATTGGACGAAATTGGTGGTGCCACTTATCATGTCGTGTACAAATAACCCTTCTTGAGTTTCTTTATTATTGAAAAACTAAAATAAATTCCATTGTTTAAGGTTATAGGTGAGTGAATATCAGCCTGGCCAACTGATATTTGATGTTGCTCTGTAATTCATAGTTGAGCTTCTCATAGATGATTGTATCTGCTCTGTAAACCATAGTTGAGTGACGCATTTATTTCTAGTTCTCAATATGAACTAGACTCACTGGGGATTTCACTTGTGAATTGCTAACTCACATAAACACTTCTTTTAGTTTCTATTAGACCCATTATAAAATATTTTTTCAGTAAAAAGATATTACATGAAAGCTGGATCTCTTGACCGATATTATTATCTAATAAAATTATCCAGAGATAATTGATATGTTTGTACAAGATACATTTAAATCCTATCATGTAATTAAGATACCAAAGTATAGAATATTCATATATCATCATAAGAAAATCCACCATAAGAAAATCCACCATAAGAAAACCTTGAAGATCCTTATATTCTTCTTAATAGTAAATAATTTAGTTTAAAGCTTTTATTATATTATAATATCACATCATATAATATTAATTAAATTATTAATTTCTTTGATTAAAATAAAAAAAGATATAACATATAATAAAAATAATAACTGGTTCTATATCTCTTTCCAATAGTAAATAATTTATCATTAATATTAGAATATTATGTCACATAATAATATCAATCATAATTATCAATTTCTATAAAATAAAAAAAGATATAAAAACTCTTGTTAAAAATAATAATAGCAAATATATTAAGAAATAACAATCTGCATAAAAAGAAACAAAAAAATATGAATATAAAAGTTATATTCAAGTTGTGCTTTTTATTAATTTTTCAATAGTAATCTTAAGATACTACTATAAATATAATAATTATTATCCTGATCAATTATCAGACTTGTATACACTTTCTCTTTCTAAAAATATTCAATGATTTATTTAGCATCAATTACTGAAAGAACTTAATACTTATAGCATATAATAGCTCTTGTGATACTGAGCAATTAAACTTTAAAATCAGATATAATTATTAAAAAGAGAAAATTATGATAATAAAAAATTTTTAGATAGTCAGCTATTGCAAGATAAACTGATAATAAAAGATGATATTTATATAATTATGCATAATATAATAAAAGCATATTTTTACTTTAATGAAAATGAGTTAGAGTCTCTGAATAAATGACAGATGAAGTTAATTATTATGAATAATTATTATTTATTTAAGTGTAATGATAAAATAATTGATATAGGATTTATGTTCACTTTTCAAATAGAAAAACAAAAGAAATTAACACAACTTGCAAGAGTTATATATCTAAATGATATACATAAATTAAATTAATCCTGTAACTAATCACTTATTCATGTGATGCAATAATCATCAATCATTACTAAATTAGATAAATAAGTAATTTTATTAATTAATCTTATTTATAATTAATTCTATTTTTAAATCTATATTATTATCCATATTTAGTCTTATTTAAATATTAATTTAGCCATGTGTGTTATATCTAATTTATAGTTTTATTAAATTAATAATTTCCTAATTAATTATTATTAATTTTCTTTCATTTCTCACTTTAGCT